TAGACTATTGCTTTTTATTTGTTTAAGCATTACTTGAGAACCTGTTTAATTTTTTTATTTTATTTTAACATTCTTGACTTACACTTATTTTTAGATTCTTGTGCTGAAGAATTTTGTTAAATCTTTTACGTTTTCAGATACATCTTCCAGTCCACCTATAGAACAAGAACCACCGCTGCAATGGGCCATTTCAAGGATCGTCGTTATAAGGATACTTTGAGGAATGGTAGGCATTTATTACTTTCTTTGTTTAATAGCATTCATTAAAATCGTTCCTTAGTTTTTATTTATTTTAGCACTACATTCATAAGTTCATTAACTTCTTTTATTAACTTATCTTGCCTTGTTTCTCTTTAGTTCTATAGATTTAGTTGTAAACACCTTTTTAAAACTTTTCTTTTTGTTTATTTTGCTGCTTTTCTTTGGAACTTAATTTATTTTCTTTATTTTAATTTTCTTGACTTAGACTTACAATTTTTTACATTCAGGAACATCTTCCTGTCGAGCCACTGAACAAGAACCACCTCTGCATTGGGCCAAGTCAAGGATCGTCTTTATAAGGATACTTTGAGTAATGGTAGGCATTTATTATTTTCTTTGTGAAATACCATTCATTAAATTCTTTGTTAGTTTTTATTTATTTTATAATACTACTTTTGAAACATCGTTAGCATCTTTTGTTTACTTACCCTACCTTTTTTTTATTTCTTTAGATTTAATTTTAAACATTTTTTAAAACTTTTCTTTTTGTTTATTTTGCCACTTTTCTTTAGAACTTAATTTATTTTCTTTATTTTAATTTTAGACTTACAATCTTGTACTTTCAGGAACATCTTTCTGTCTAACCACTGAACAAGAACCACCCCTGCAATGGGCCAATTCAAGGATCGTCTTTATAAGGACACTTTGAGGAAAGGTAGGCATTTATTACTTTATTTCTTAAATAGCATTCATTAAATTCTTCCCTTAGTTTTTATTTATTTTAATACTACTTTCATAACTCCGTTAATATCTTTTATTTACTTACCCTACCTTGTTTCCATTTATTTCTTTAGGTTTAATTTAAAACTATTTTTTAAAACATACTTTCTTTTTGTTTATTTTGTCACTTTTCTTTGGAACTTATTTTATTTTATTTATTTTAATTTTCTTGTCTTACAATTATACTTACAATCTTATACTTTCAGGTACATCTTCCAGTCCAACTATCAAACAAAAACCACCCCAGCCAAGTCATGGATCGTCTTTATAAGGATGCTTTGAAGAATGGTAGGCATTTATTACTTTCTTTGTTAAATAGCATTCNTACTTTCAGTAACATCTTCCTGTCCAGCCATTGAACAAGAACCACCCCAACAATGGGCTAACTCAAGGATCGTCTTTGTCAGGACACGATTTTTAAAACTTCTTTTCTTTTGTGTTTATTTTGCCACTTTTCTTTGGAACTTATTTTATTTTAAGTTTCTTGAGTTAGACTTACAATCATATGCTTGCAGGAGTATCTTCTTGACTTATTTTTAGATCCTTATGTTGAAGAATTTTTTGAAACCATATACTCTTTCAGGCATATCTTCCAGCCCAGTTATCGTACAAGGATCACCCCTACAATGGACCAATTCGAGAATCGTCTTTATAGGGACAGTTCGAGTAATGGTACGTATTTAATTATTTCTTTGCTTTTATAACACTTTGTTTTCTCAAGTTTATATTCATTTATATAGTTTCATAATTTTTATTAATGCATGCTACCTTTTATTTATTTACTTTGTCCTCTTTGTTTTCTTTCTTTATTTAAAATTTAAGATATTTCTTTAAATTTTTTTTATTTAGTTTTATCTTTTTTCAGCATGTTCTTGTTATTCATCCTCTAACGCTTTTCTTGGCTTAAACTTATTATTAGATCCTTTTAATTTACTTTAACACTTTTCTCTAATACTTATATTTTACTTCCTTAATTTTTAATGCCCTGTCTTGAAGAATTTTGCCAAGCCTGATATTGTTTCAGGTACATCTCCCAGTCCAGCCACCGAACAGGGACCACACCAGCAATTGGTCACTTCCAGGATCGTCGAGATGCGATTCAACAGGGGTAGGCTTATTTTTTTGTACTTGTCTCTTTTATTACTTTAGTTTTTTTGATCTTTACTTTCTTTTCAATTATTTTCACTTGGTAACTTTAGCTTTTCATTTTCTTTCTTTAATTTTTTCACCGTTTCTATTTATTTTGTTTAAAACTCTTTTCTTTATTGTTTACTTCTTTAGATTTTTTGTTTATTTAACTAATACTTAATTTTTTTACAGATTCAGCGAACTCCAGGGACATCATTCATCGTGGGAGATCATCGCCACCATCGAGGGACCATTTCTAACGGGTGCGAATAGCCCCCAACGGTAACGGTCATCTTCCAATGGCTGGAGCCATCCTCCAGGGGTAAGAAGTTCCTTCCAACACCAAGGATCACCACTTATAGGTAAGACTTATACCTTCGCAAACAGGAACACCTTTAAGGGGCTTGAGGGTGATCCTGTCTGCGGGAGGGTGGTACTTGTACCATATCTCCCGCAGATATGATCATCTTCAAGCAACTTGAAGCTGATTTCTGCTTGCCTAGGCTTAAGTCAAGCCTCTCAGTGGCGATCCAAGTTGTCGGAAGGCACTTCTAACCACTTGGAAGATGCTGGTCATTGAAAGGTGGCAGTTTACCACTTGGGGGCTATTCAATCCTGCTAAAAATGGTCCCACGCGCGGACAGGGGATCCGCGTCCCCCACCGGCGTCGAATTACAAAAACCTTCAACGTAGGGATGCACCA